AAAATTACACCTGGTACAGGCAGTATGGAAATCTCCTGAGCTGCTTCAGAATATGAGCAGTAGTGTTTAGTTTATTTCATTGGTTCATTTTAGCTATACACAATAATCACACTCATCATAGGGAATTTGTACCTGTACTGGGTACATCTTTGTTTATTCCTTCCCTCTTCCCTCCCTTCAACCCCTCTTTCTTTCATATCTCCAAATCTTTGTTTCCATATTTTCTTCTAAATTCTCTCTCTTTTTTTCTCTTGGTTTCCCCTTCTCTGCTTCTTGTTACCTTAGTGCATGGCACATGCATGTTTAAATATCACAATGTTTCTCTGCTGTAAGAAACTGAAAGTATAAATAAGGATCGAAATGTACGATACATGTTAAGAAATTTAAAATATATGAACATTAATGATTTATTGGACCTGGGTGATTGTTTTGTTTTATCTCCTTTACTCTGTTCAGCAGCTTTCCAACTCCTTAAAATCCAAAATCCTGGCATGAGCTAAAGGCTGGTTCCCTATGACACATGCCCTAATCTTCACCCCTCATCTCCACTCCTGTCCCCTCACTCTGGGTGTCCATCCCTGTTGTCCTCTGAGCCTTGTGCACATGGCACCACCTTTACCTTCCCCACAGCACAGGCCTGGCCACACTGTTCCTCCAGCTCCTTGGAACTGACCCTTCCCTGCCCTATCCACAGTCTCCTCACAGCCCCTCCCTGCTGTCACTTAGACCCTCCCTGTTCTTCCCTGGGAAAAGAGGCCACAATTCTGCCCTCTCTCAACCTTGCAGGGTCCCCATGTCCCTCCTTCTCCCCTCACCAGTGCAAACCCCCAGCTGTCTGATTTTTTGCCTTTGGGTTTGCAGGGTCAGTGTGGGCCTGGCAGGGTCAGCAGGAAGGAGCCTGTGCAGCATGGAGGAGAGGGTCCTATGCAGGGCAGGGAGAAGCTCTCTAGGCTGAGAGAGGGCAGGGAGTGTCCTTGGAGGAGTCTTGGAGCTGAAGGGGTTGAGGGGAGGGCCAAGGGTTAAACGTCTGACCTCTGAGCCTGGGACCGGACCATCAGGTTAGGGCTGTTTTGGGGATCAGTTCTGGTAGGAGTTGTGTCCTTCCCTGTCAGTTTCCTGGTCCCAGGGTAGGTGAAGGGTGAATCCTTGCATTCTGTTGTGTGTGTGGCTGGCAGTGTCCTCCTGGGAGGAGGCCCTTGAACAGGTCACTCCTTTTCACAGCACGCTTCTTGGAGTATATTAGAGCAGAATGTCACTTCTCCAATGGGACGGATCAGGTGAGATTTCTGGAGCGACACATCTACAACCCGGAGGAGTTCATGAACTTTGACAGCAAGGTGGGCCAATACCACGCTGTGACCCAGCTGGGGCAGCCAGAAGTTGAGTACTGGAACAGCCAGAAGGATCTCCTGGAGCAGAAGCTTGGCCAGGTGGATGCTTACTGCAGACACAACTATGAGGGTGCTGAGATGTTCATGGAGCAGCAGAGAGGTGAGTGTGAGGGCCTGGACAGCCAGGGAGAAGGAAGGAGGGAGGGAGGGAGACAGAGAGAGACAGAGCTGGAGTGAGGGAGAGAGATTCCCTGTTTTGAGTGTGTAGGACTGTGAGCTAACCAATGGTAGGAGGTACAGTGAGAATCTATGGCCTTTGAGGATCTGTGTAATTTTGATAAGTGTATGTATGTGTGTGTGAGAGAGAGAGAGAGAGAAAGAGAGAGAGACAGAGAGACAGAGAGAGCACACTGTGCTTGTCCAGTACCCTTGATGCTGACCCTAAACTGGACAGGTCAGGGCTGTGACCACTGGACGGGCTGAGAAGAGGGGGAAGAAGGAGGCGAAGGTAAAGGGGAGAGGAATTTGGATGGTGTGGGGGGAGCTTTTGTGCCAGACTTATGTTTAAAGGAGCAGGGATTGGGGGGCTGAGACTCACAGCATGCACAGGCAGTGTGGGCCTCCCTGGTTGGGGTGGGGAGCAGGGAGCACAGGGGTGTCAGCAGCTGGGGTGCTGTGAGGAGGCTGCTCATACCCTGCCCTTGGCTTGCAGCCTTCTCTATGGTGAAGCCCAGGAAGTACAAGTGCCCTGAATGTGCCCAGCATTTCAGGGGCAGGGGTGTCAGTTTAGTGTGGAGGGAGGAGGGACCAGGCGCCTGGACCTTTTCCAAGGCTTCTCCTGGGTCTCAGTTTCCTGCTGTTTTTGTTTTGTTTCATTACTTGTCTGGTGTACAGACCTTTACATTGTGAAGAGATGGTGATCCTGGCTTTTGATCAGAGTTGTGTTACTTTACACACTAATGTTACTATTTTTATAAACTAATAACATTGAGATGGTTGTGTATTATGTTTTTCTGTGGTTGTAAATGAGAGTGAATCCAAATTATGAGACTTTGAAAGTATTGAATAATTCAGTTTTCTCTTGTTGATTGGGGGCTGCGATTTTGTTCCTTGATCACTGGAATCTGAAAAACTATTCAAATATGTTATGCAAAATTATATAATATTTGTATGTAACTTACATATATTCTCCTATATATTTCAAATGATATCTAAATTACTTAAAATATCTAAGTGTGTACATGCCATCTACTTAGTTCTTATATTGTTTGGGGACAAATGACAAGAATACAGTGAGTATGGTCAGTACAAATCTATAGTATGCAATACTACTTCTACAGCAATGGAGCAATTCTCCAAAGGTAAACCCTTGTAAATAGAGGCCCATTGTGGCCTAAAAATTAAATATTTAATTTTTACTGTAATTTTTATGATGTATAAAGTTTGTGAACATTTTTACACACCTCTTAGAGAATACAAATATTTTAAAAATTATCTCTTCCTCTTCTCTATAGCCCTACCCTTTTCTAAGTGATTTTATGGATATTTTATGCTTAAGTATTATTTCTGCCTTCTTCTTTTACTCACCATTTATACCATTTTCTGGATCACATTTTGTTTCTGTTTAATTCAATTTACGTTAAGATCAGAAACATTTTATTTAATAAAGTACGAAGTACCACTGTTGCTAAGGATTTGCTCACAATCTTTTTTTTTAAATATAAAATGAAAAAAAAAGCAAAACAGAAAAAAGTGTAAAAACAATACAGAATTTCAAAAAAATAAACCGTAAGAAATCACTAGTTGATAAATTACATATTGTTCTCCTAGAAACAGTTGTTCAAGATACAAAATTAAAGCATGCAAAGCATTCAAACAGTGAGACTGCAAAGAGTTCTGTTCAACCATACAACCAAAACTTAGCAATATGGTTATCAGTCCTACATATATAAACATACACGCAGCTACGTCGTTTAGAGCAGTTTCTTATCCTCTCTTTTTTACAATAGCAATGACACATCTTAGGTTTTATTACTCCTACATTTCTTATTACTTTTTACAATAGAGGCACAAAGTGATACTGATAAACATGATTCTTATTTATTTGACTTATGAGGATAGTCTCAAGTTGTTTCATTTACCTATGAAGGCCTCAAGATCATCCTTTTTGTAGCTGAGTAATATTCCATTGTATAGAAATACCACAATCTTTTTCATCCACTCTGTGATTGATGGGCATTTTGGTTGTTTCCAAGATTTAGCTATTATAAATTGTGCTGCTATGAACATGGGTGCACATATATCACTGCAACATGACCTTTTCATTTTTTCTGGGAAAATACCCAGGAGGGAAATAGGTGGATTGAATAGAACTTCCAATCCTAGTCTCCTGAGAAATCTCCATACTGATTTCCATAGTGGCTGCACCAGTCTACACTCCCACCAACAGTGGAGGAGTGCTCCCCACCGCCCCACAGCCTCGCCAGCATTTGTTATCAGTTGATTTCTTGATGACAACTATTCTTTCCATAATGAGATGAAATCTCAATGCTGTTTTAATTTGCATTTCTCAAAGGACCAGTGATGGTGAACATCTCTTCATGTATTTATTTGCCACTTGTATATCTTCATGTGAGAAATGTGTGTTCATCTCTGATGCCCATTTGGGGAGAGGGTCATGGAATTTGGGGGACTTGATGTTTCTCAACTCTTTATATGTTCTGGATATATATCCTTTGTTTGAGTGGTTGCTGGCTAAAATTCTTTCCCATTTTGTGGGTTTTCTCTTCACTCTGTTGGTGATTTCTTTTGATATGCAAAAACTTTTCAATAATATGGGATGTGAGTTGTTGATTCTTTGAAATGTTTCCTGTGCAGTTTTCATTTTGTTCATGGATTCTCTGCTTACCCCTATGTCTCCAAGACTTCTACCTACCTTGTCCCATTAGATTTAGTGTTTCTGTTTTAACATTTAGATTTTGATCCACTTGGACTTTAGTTTTGTGCATGGTAATAGGCATGGGTCTAGTTTCAGTTTTAGGTATGTGGAGAGCTAATTTTTCCAAAACCATTTGTTAAAGAGGCTATCCTTCTTCCAGTGAACATGGCTGGGTGTCTTTGTAGTTGTGTTTACATCATCTAATCCATTCCATTGATCGTGAGGTCTATTTCTTTGCCAGTAGCATGCTGATTTTATCACTGTGACATTGCAGTGTAGTATTAAGTCAGGAATTGAGATGCCTCCTGCCTTTCCTTTGTTGCCTAGAATTGCTTGGCTAATCTAGGTTTCTTCTGCTTCCAAATGAATTTTAGGTGTGTTTTCTCTTCATCTTGGAGGTATGTTCATGGTATTGACTAGCTAGCAATCTTACATCTGTCACTTTCTGGTATTGTGAAGATGTTCTCTTTTTGGGGAATGCATTTTTTTTTTTTAGTTTGGTATTACAGGGCTTGTCTCAAGCATGAAGGACCCATACTAATAAGTCCCAGACACTGTGTTGACCACAAATGTCACCTTAGAAAGAGAAGCAAATGTAACCAAATAGCAACTTTAACAATCAACAGTAGCGTTGTATAAAGGAGAAGCATTCCTCCTCCTCCTGGATCAGGCCTGCAAAGATAGGAATTTTCTAAAGAATTGATTTCTCTTGCTGCTCTCCTTCTGCTCAGGACTCCTGAGTGACCTGGAACTCAGCTCCCAGCCTAGAGAGTCACATGTCTTTGTCCCTGCTTCCCAGTGTGCAGTCCTTGCTGGCCCTGAAGTGTGGCTATGTGGAGAGAGCGCTCCCAGCATTCCATGCTCCATTCCCTTCCTACCCCACTGCTCCTTCCTACTTTTCCATTGCCTCATGACTGTGATTCTCACATAGCAAACAGGAGAATACTGAAGAATGAAAATGAATCAATGGATATGTTCTTAAGGACCTTAAGGAACATTACTTATTTTAACTCTGATGAAACACAACATGGTGAATCAGTATTCTCATCCTTATTACAGATGAAAAGTTGAGTTACAAAGAAGTGCAAAGAATCCTTTTAGGATTAGTCATGGAGAGGGAGAGCCTGAATTTGAACTCAGAAGGTCTGGCTCCTAAATTCACAATTTATTTAATGTTTCATTTGCTTGGGAAAGACAACTAAACACCATATTTAATAAAATGATCAAGTCAAACTACAAAAAATATATTTTTAAAAAATGTTTTGTGACCTTGTTCTGAGGACTGAATTGCAGGTTCTTGATAGAGGGTCCTCTGAGCCTCAGTATACGTGAGGTGCCTATGAGGACCTGGGTCTGTTGTTAGAGAGGTACAGAGAGGCAGAACCAAGAACTGCTCTGCCTTCTAATGGGTTTTTTCTGACTTTTCTCCTGTAGCTGAGCCCAAGTGACCGTGTACTCCACAAAGACCCAGCCCCTGAAGCACCACAGTCTCCTGGTCTGTTCTGTAAGTGGCTTCTACCCAGGACATGTTGAGGTCAGATGGTTCCGGAATGGACAGGAGCAGGAGGCTGGGGTGCTGTCCACAGGCCTGATCCAGAATGGGGACTGGACCTTTCAGACCCTGGTCATGCTGGAAACTGTTCCTCAGAGTGGAGAGGTTTATGCCTGCCAGGTGGAGCACGTGAGCTGAAGCAGCCCTGTCACTGTGGAGTGGAGTGAGTGGGGACCCCTGACCTCATCAGTTCCCTTCCAACCCACAAGGGGTCTCCTCTCACCCCTGAGGGTCAAGTTTTCTCTCTCACTAGAACAATGTTCATTTATTTTCTATTTTTCTTATCTTTGTATTTTCTTATTTTTCTCTTTTCTTATCTCTTTCAGAACCATTCACGGGGAATAAAGGGGTAATTTCTACCAACATGTACACACCTTCAGGACACAATTGTGCCTGTCATAGAGAACAGAAATGTCTGTGTTTTTTACCTTCTCAGGCTATCATTGGTGATTGTCACCCCTTAGTCCTGTGTCAACACTGTGCTTCGGGGTGGGTCTGTGTTTTAGGGGTCATGTTTCCGGGCCTTTATTGTGATCTGTAAAGAGGAGCAATACGGGATCTTCCTGACAGTACAGGAGTCCACCCTCAGCTTTGTCTTTTGTAAACTCTGTCCTCCTATGTAGAGAGCCCTTCCTGGACCTTGTCTTGGTCCCAGAAGTTTATATTTGTAATTCCAAAGGAAATTTATTGAAGTTCTAAGTAGTTGATGCCAATCACTTCCAGTGCAACCCATGGTGAGAGTAAGGACACTAAGACATATTTACATTAGTGGGGAGCCAAGGGTATCCTAAGTTCAGCCTAGATAGTGCTTCACCACAACAAAAGACTTTGCCCAGGGCCCTACATGGATTTCATTAATTCCTTAAGGAGTGTCCTGAGAATGAGCGGCTGTGAGAATGGAGAGGAACTGTATGACTAAGGTAAGCTGGGCTAGCTAGGAGCCTGAAAGCACCTCTGCAATATGCAGAGAGAGGACTATGCAGAAAGACTAATCTGCATGGCACACTTTAATGTTTTGGGGGCCAGTGATTCAGTTCTGATTTACAAACTTTTCTGCCCTGGGAAGAAAAGTGTCTCATCTCCAGGCCAATCTCAGTTGATAGCCATGGAGTCATGGCTGTTTATCCCTCCTCACCCATGTGTGTGGGAGTCATGGGGTGAGGAAACAGTGACTGTCCCTAGCTTCCAAGATTATACATCAGCTCCTCAGTCAGCCCTATTTACACTGTTTATAGTCAATTGAAGGGAAAGGAAATGGGCCTGGACAGCTCTGTATATACCGGTACATGGAAACAGGGTCAGGTTTAGTCAAAATGGAGATAACTGCTCTTTATTCAAGAAGTCCTCCATGTGGTCCTCCACAGTCCTAGATGGCTACTCAGCCTCACTGAGCTACAGACACTGCACACATCCAAGGATATTTCAGTGCTGTGATAGATCAATGAATTCAGTGCATGAGCCTCACGCCAACTCAATGTGAGTTGTAAGTTTCTCTTCCCAAGAATGGCCAATTCTAGATTCTTAATGAGGAACCCTTTCTGTAGTCTTAAAATTCTGAATCTCAGGTCTCAATGAGGGAACTTGGGTTTGGTACTTTTAAAAAATCTCTAACCCTAGTGTTTTTTCTTAGGGGCACAGTCTGGATCTGCACAGAGCAAGATGCTGAGTGGAGTTGGAGGTTTTGTACTGGGTCTGCTGTTTCTTGGGATGGGGCTGTTTATCTACTTCAGGAAGGAGAAAGGTAACATGTCTATAAGTAGTTAAAACTCTCCACATCCTTTACTCAAGACACTGTACTGTTTTCCTGTGGGAATCTTGGTATTTTTGTGTCACTGTATGAAGCCTTTCTTCCCTCAGTTTACATAAAATTTCCTGAGAATTCAGAAATGTATTGTTTATGGAACTTCTTTGGAACAAAGGGTCATGATTTGCAGTGACAAGGGGAAAGTTGAGCATCCTGGACACACTGGTTGAAGAGCAGAGTGTAAAGAAGCAAGAGCACAGGACAGGGATTTATGGGTCAGATGCTTCCTGGGTCACATTCTCTTAGTTTGTGCTTTCTCTGCTCTGGTTAGCAGTAACTGTGCTGTCAGAAATCTCAGGTGGCGGGTATGATACTGGGACTCTGTGATTAGGGACATGTGTGCCTCCATGTATGTAAAATATCTACCTCCTCTCTCTTTTCCAGGACTTTCTGGAGTTCAACCAACAGGTAATGTCCTTGAATCTCCATACACTGATTTGCTTTTCCTATCAGTGTTGGTAGAGATGAGAGGCAGTATGAATTTGCGTGCGAAGTACTGAAAGTTTTGCTCAGGCAGATGCAGTAAACTTTCTTTGTTCTACTTAATAAAACCTTGTGCTCTGCAACAGAACTGGCTCAGGGAAACTTAACAGATTGTTTTTTTTGTTTTGTTTTGTTTTTTGTTTTTGTTTTTCTGCAGTGCTCTTCTGAGAGGGGAGAGAATCTGAATTCAGAATGAGATACGGAAACACTGCTATCCTCTGCCTGTGCAGGGCTCCTGAGCTAAACAGATGGTCTCAGCACTGAAGGAAGTAGCTGAGTCCCTGCTTCTCCATGACTTCTCCACATCATGACAGACTTCCTGGTTGGCTCTGGTTCTCTCGCACACACAGCCTCTCCTGGTGCCCAGGACCACACAGAATGTCATCGTTCATGGCTTCCCCTGCCCTTGGGCCCCACCTGGAAGCCCAGGCACAGACTGTGGGGCCTTCCCTTCATTCCCTCCTGGTCCCTTTCTGATCAGCATTTACCTGCTCAGGGCTTCTGCACTCACTCTGGACAGTGTTGCTTTATTGTTTCTCAAAGGAATGTGGAGTGAAATATCATCTGCTTCCTACAATTTTGAGGACAAAAATACAGAAGAAAACAGGAGGAGGATCTCAAAATGCACTACTGGTTTTCACTGATGCATAAAAAGTGTGTGAGGATATGCATATGTGGAACAGGCTGCATTAACCATTTCACAATGTCTAGAGGTTAAACCATCATATTCTATGAAATAATTGCATGCAATTTTCCCTTCTCATTGAAAACACATTTTAAAATTAGATTGGAATTAGATTGCCAAAATATGTAAAATTGACGTATAATAATTGAAACAAATGATCACAATTATATGATAGGAAACAAGCTTTAAAAACAAATAAATGCCTTTCTCCAAATACTGTATGAGTATTCTTGAAAATTAATTTATTGACATCCAGAGATAGACGTCATTATATGTCAGTACAGATTAGCTATTCAGTACAGCACACTCATTGATTGAGAGTTCTGCTCTTCTGTTCCATTGAAACAAAGAGTCAGTTTTGTAATGCAAGACAAATCAAAATTTAAATAATTCAGAATTTTGGTTAAGAATAAGAATCATTTGAACACAGTTTTTTCGTTCTCCTCTGCAGTTCTCATTTTTAAATAAGTAGACTGTACATTATTATGCTGCTTTTCAATTAGCTCATGAGTTCTTTGTACAAGCTGATTTTCCTGTGTGACTTTCATGGGCTGATATTGAGGTCCATTCTGGTACAATGTGGGTTGCAACTTCATTGTGACTTTTTTTCCCAAGAAGAAGAAATGGTTTATGGCATGTTACATACTAACTCTTTTGTGAAACTATAAGGTAGAATTTAAAACATATGACCAAAATTTCAATCAAGATGCTTTATACTTCACATAGCTGGAAATCCAATCCAAAGTCCTATTTTTCCTTGATTTTCCTAGGGCAGGGAGAAGTTAGATGCAAGTGTGTGTCTCTAGTGCTGCTCACTTCAGCAGGCAGGTGGCTCCTGCAATGATCCCCCAGTTTCATCCCTCTTCCCTTGTCATTCACAGACTGTCCTCAGTCCTGAGACGGCAAAACAAACAACCATGACACATTTAGGTTTTCATATTCAGAGCGTAAATGGCTAGGACGTTGAAAGTCTTTTCTCTTGGGTGCTTCTGTAAGTAGCATCTGCACTTTTCCCTGAGTTCCCAGTCAAGTCACTTCATTCCTAGCAAGGGGCAGAGGATTTTGGTGACAGCTCTGACAAACCTTCCTTCAGCCTGGGACCTGGCCCTGATGCCGTGGGAACCACAGCAGCAATATGGCATCTATTTTGAAAGAAAAAAAAATGGTATGAATGATTCAGGGATAAAAAAAAATTGATAGCATTTTTAATTAATTTCTTGATAAGAATCCTGAATGGTTTTGTGTCTATTTAAAAATATGTATTGAGTATTAAATGCAAGTTCTTAACTATAGTGAACAAAATGCCAAAATATTGCTTGTTTTTGGAAGTATCGTAGTATGTAATTTTACAACACAATTATATTTTCCAAATAGTGTTTTAAAGCAAGTATGAGAATGAAAATGTAGGGGCCAGAATTTAGCTCAGTGGCATGAGCGCCTGCCTGGCACGACCATAGAGCACATCTATTTTAATAAATATGTTTTTTTAATTCTCTGGCTGTTAATTAAATACATACATATAACTCTGGGAAGAATTAAAATTGAAACTCTTTAGAAATACTTTATGATACATGGAGAGTTTCAAATAGTTTTAGAATGTATTAAAAAAAAAGGGTATTTTTTACTGAGGGTATGGGAAGACTGCTCAGAAGACTCCTGAGGTGACACTGCCATCCTTCAGAAGCTTCAGGAACAATCATGACTTTTTTATTTGGGATCTAACAGGAGCCGAGCTAAAGGGGTTGGCTAAAAGACATGCTGAGAACCGATAGGAGGACCCTTTGCACATGCTCAGAAACGCAACAGAGGCGGAACTAAAGGCCCGGGCACAATAACATTACTGACAGCTGATAGCTGGGTCTTCCACACATGCCCAAAGGGCTGGAGGTTTGACTTGGGGGTTTGCCATTTAACACAAAAGGGCACTGTCCAGCAACAGAGGCAGTTCCTACTTGAGGGAAAACCTATCATTACGTGCCACCCAGGAATTCCATACCCTGGAATCATCCACGAAAAATGAAAAACAAACAAAACCAAGACAAGGATCCATGTCACTGTAAAGATGGGGATACAATTCACAAGAGTCAAGTTATAGAGTCACCCAAGTTGCCCATCAGTGGGTAAATGGGTGAATAAAATGTGCAACTTAGACACAGTGGAGATTTATCCAGTGAGAAAGAAACACAAAATCACAGTAGCAGGCAAATATGTGTAACTAATCACGTTAAGAACCACGTTAAGAAAAATAAACCAGACTCACAATGACAAATATTTCATGTTTTCCTCAAAGTGTGGAATCTCAGAAATATCGTAGAGATAACAGAAAGTAGAAAGAGACTATGAAACCATGGAAGGGGATCAGAAGGTGGGAGAACAAGGGTATGAGAGATGAATGTAGATAGGTAGGATCAAAAGTATTTTATATGCATGTATGTAAATGCCACATCGAAACTCCATGTTCTGAATGATAAATACGCTCCAAATACACACACACACACACACACACACACACACACACACACACGGTATGCTAAATTTCAGAGCAGAAATGGGCATAATAGCCAAAAAACTTGAAGCATTCAAAATATCCACCGGCTGGTAAACATTATGTACTAAACTCATACAATTCCATTCCACAATATTTTAATTGAATTCAATAATAAGAAATAAAATGAGCAAAATATCGTGTGCTGCAAGATCACATTTTGGTATTGTGCGTGACATCATGTACAGAAATGGGCATTTGTCCCCTAGTGAAGAACAGCTGGGTCAAATGAAATATTTATTTTTAGTTTTTTGAACTATTGTCACACCAATTTCCATAGCGGTTATTCTAGTTTACATTATCACCAACTATATGTGTATGTTTCTTTTTCCTCACCAGCATTGGTTATTTCAATGTCTTAGATTCTGGATATTTTTAATGATAGCTGAAGTGACATAGTACCACGGGATAGTTTTAGGTTGTATTTCTCTGATGGTCGTGGATGATCAGAATTTTTTCATGTATTTATTGACCATGTTTTACTTCTGAGAAATGTCTATTCCATTTGGTTACCCACTTTTCCCAGCGTTTTTTTATTTTCACATATCTAATTATTTTGAGTATATAAGTTGTCTTAACATTAGTCCTCTGTCCATGAAATAGTAAACACTTTTTCCCATTCGGTAAATTTTACTTTTACTCTGTTAGTTTTTTTTTTGTTTTTTTTTTTTTTTTTTTTTTTTGTTTTTGTTTTGTTTTTTTTTTTTTTTGCAGTGGAGAAAGATACTGATTAATTTGATATAGTACTATTAGTTGCTTGTCAGTATTTTTTCTGCTATTGGCATTCTTTTCAGAAAATCCTTCCTTTGCCTGTGTACTCAAGAGTTTCATGTAATTTACTTCCAGCAAGTCACATGCTTCTATGTTAACATTTAGAACCTGATCTATTTAATTGTAGTGTTATACCCAGTGGGATGTGTGGTCTAGACCCGGTCTTCTGCACACGCATACCAGCTTCCCAGCACCATTTGTTAGGGAGACTACCTCTCCTCCAGCGTATGTTTCTGGCTCGTTTGTCACAGATTGAATGGCTTACTGTGCTTGGAGTTGTTTCAATGCCTTGTCTTCTCTTCTGTTGATCCAGATGCCTGTTTTTGCATCAGTACCAGGCTGCTTAGATCACTGCAGCTTTATAGTAAAAGTTTGAGTCTGAGATTTTGATCCTACCTGATGTGATTTTGTAACCTAAGATTACTTTTGCCATTATGGGGCTTTTCTGACTCCATATAAATTTTAGGATTTTTTTTCTCTTTTGTGACAAATGCAGTTGGTGTTTTGACATGGATTGCATTAGCTTTGCAGATCAGTTTCCAAAGTGCAGCCATTTTGATTATGTTGGTTCTTGCTATGCAGGAACAGGGATTGTTTCCACTTTCTGATCAGCTCCCTCAATTCCTTGTTCAGAGTAACATAATTTTCACTGTAGAGCTCTTTCACTTCCTTAGTTGACACCCAAGAGGTTTATAAATTTTGTGCTGTTGTGAGTGAAATATTTTTCTGATTTTTTTTCAGTGAGTTCATTATTAGCTTATAGAAATGCTGGCTTTTTTCTTGTGATTATATTGTATCTAGCTACACTGAAGAATTTGATGATGAATTTCAGGAGTATTGTTGTGCAGTTTTCTGTGTCCTTTTTGTAGATGATCATGTCATCTGTGAATAATGAAAATTTTATTTTGACCTTTCCTATATGTAGTTTTGAAAATTTCTTTCTCATGCTTCATTTCTCTGACAAGTATTTCAAGAAGTACGTTAAAGCAGTGATCACAATGGACATCCTTGTCTTGTTCCTGATTTCAAAGGGAAAGACCAGAATTTTCCCATTGAAAATTATCTTTGTCGTAGGTTTGTCAAAAATAGACTGAGAAAAGACACTTCTACACATTTTCCCTTCATGGTGTATATTATGAATGACTGTTGGGTTTTGTCAAAGATTTTTCTGAATCTATTGAGATCATCATGTATTTTTGTTATTGGATCTATTGATGTGACAAATTACACATTTTTGATGTGTATATATTGACGGAACCCTGCATCACGTGATGAATCTTAATGATGATGATATATCATCTTTTTGTTAATGTTTTGCACTCAGTTTTCCATTATCTTGTTAAGGGTTTTTAAAATCTGTGTTTATTAGAGAAATTGGTGTTTGTTTGGCTTCTATCTTTGTATTTTTATCTAATTTTCAGATCAAGATAACTTTATCTTCCAAGCATGATTCTAGAAGTACTTCTCTCCCAATGTTAAAATTTTTGAGGAGGACTGCTGTTAGATCTTCCCTGAATAATTTTGTTTGAATTCTACTATAAGTCCATCAGGTCCTGCATTTTTCTTTGTTGCAAGGTTGGAGTTTTTTCTGCTTCAATTTCATAAACTCATATTGAATATCTAAGATTTTTCAGTCTTCTTGATTCAGCTTTATAAGTCCATATTTATCTAGGACTCTATTTCTTCTGAGTTCTCTGAACAGTTGGTGTATTTTTGTGAAGTAGTTGCTAATAATTTTCTGAGTTTTGCCAGTATAAGTTTTGATGTAACTGTTAAGCTTTTTAATTGCATTAGTTCATGTCTTTTGGTTCTTTTTGTTAGATTAGGGAAGGGCTGGTCTGTTTTATTTATTTTCTCAAAGCATCATATTTGCAATTCATTGATTCTTTTTGTTTTAAATTTTCACTTCTTTAATTTCTCATCTGATCTCTAAAATTTTCTTTCTTGTACAAACTCTGGCTTTGGGTTGTTCTTATTTTTCTAAGACATTGACTTACACTGTTAGGTTATACATTTGGGCTCTTATTTTCTGAGGTGGGCATTTACAACTCTAACTTTCCTTCATAGAATGGCTTTATTTGGGCCTCATAAGTTCTGTTATGTTTTTCAGAAATAGACATTCAAATCTTGGAACTTATATCTCCCTCAATTTCCTTCACGGTAAATATTATTCAACTATGTGCTATTTAATTTCCATATGTTTGTGTAATTTCTGTTATTATTAATTTCTAGTTTCATTGCCCTGTGATTTGATAAAATGCATGGTAAATTTCAAATCTTTTGCATTTACTTCATCTTGGTTTATTAGCTAGTAGATGGTATAATGTGGAGAAAGTACCTTCTGTGGCTTATAAGAATATGTATTCTGTTGTTGTTGAATGAATCCCTCTACTTGTCCATTAGTACATTTGGTCAAAGTTGTGTTCAACTCATATTTGTTTCAGGTATTATTTATGATAATGAGGTATTGACATTATTATTATTGGACTGATATATATCTAATTTTTGTGTTCATTTGAATTATGAAATGAGGTGCAATGTGATTTGATACTTACATGTTTAAATTTATTATCTTTCTGTTTTATAGTTCTATAAACAAACATGTAATATCTCTTTCTTTGCCTCATTTGAACAACTTTGGCTTGAAAAACATTTTCCTGAAAATAGGTTAGCTATGCTTTTTTCATTTCAACTTCCTGTTGCATGGAATATATAGTTTTACAACCTTTGATTATTAGCTGATGAATTTTTTGTATTCAATCAATTTGATTTTTGAATACAGCATGTGTTTGTTTCTTAACCCATTCTGCTAATCATTTGACTATTAATTCAAAAGTTGAGAGCATTTACATTGATTGTTGTAATTGATAAATATTGATTTATTCCCATCACTGTATTAATTTTTCTTGCCTCTTTTCATTTCTTTCCCTTTTGCTTAATTGGTAGCCATACCTGTTGTTTTTATCTTATTAGACATTTTGGCATTATTTCATAATCTCCTTCTAGGTATACTTGAGAATATTTTTGAAGTGTTGGTTTGGTAGTTGTGAACTTTTGTATGTTTTCTTTATTAGGTAGGTTCTTGTTTCCCCATCAATTTTAAAGATAATCTTATAGCATATAATACTCCTTGCAGAGATTGAAAAATTCCATTCCATAATTTCCTTGTCATTAAGATATGTGGTGAGAAATCTGTTGTAATTATGATTGATTTAATCTGAAATGATCAGTTCCTTTCTCTGGAAGTCTTTAGGATTCTATTCTTGTGTTGGAGTTCTGGTGTTTCGGTTATTTTGTGCCACAAAATGCTTTTCTTCTCATCAAAGGTTTTTGGATTTTTACATGTTTCACTGATCTGTTCATTAATTACCCTGCATGTGTGGAAAGTTTTTCTGCTATTATTTAAGTAAACAGGGTTTCAAAAATGTTCTTTGTGCTATTTACTGAATTTTTAATAATTCTGATTCCTTATATATTTGACCTCTCTCAGTCCTCTGGCCTGTGTTGGATCCTTTTCTCCTGTTCCTTTGCTGATCTGAAGGTGTCTTTCCTTAATCATTAATCGATCTTTAAATACCACCCTGCTTCTTGGTCTGACCTGCTGTCATTCTATCATGTTTTCAATCTCCTACATTTTAGATTCCAACTTTTTAAGGACTCGTATTTTTTTATACTTGGCTTTCTGCTGTGCAACCCCTGTGTATTAGTGTCTTCTCTGGACTCTTATCTTTTTTCCATTAGTGTCATTGTCTGGTTATTTCTGTCTTCTTTAAATTTTCCAAATCCCATATTGAACTCATTTACTTCCACTGATATCCTTTCAGACCTGTCTGTTGTGCTGCTTATGATTTCCTCCCATTTAACTCCCTGAATCTGGTTTTAGGAGTCGGGGTGTTGTGGAGGCAGTTTGTTGGCTCATCTTTTCATGTTTCCTTTGTGTTGTTTGTTTTTCATGCTAGGGTTTCCAAATTCACTGGACTACTGCTCTATTGTTTGGGAGTGAACTACACAGTATTGTTTATTAACCCCAGATAATACGAACATTGGCTTAGAGAGCAAACCAATTGCGAAGAATTCAGAAGAACTGTGTCTTGAATCTCTGATCAGCAGCTGATGATGCAATACATCTCTAATGCTAATTGGTTCCTCAAAACTGAGATCCCCCTACCTAGCAGCAAAGAAATAAATTTGTTGGTTCTCATTATTCAGGATGTACACAGACAGGATATGTGTTTCTCACTAACTGAGGCATCTCTGCTTTGCTCTGACCGAGTCCTCTCCTGCCCTGCAGCATGCTGTGTCTGTGGCTCCCTGGAGGCTCCAGCATGGCAGCTCTGACAGTGACATTGGTTCTGCAGTGTCCTCCTGTGGTTTT